TTGAGGATTTACAATGGATGATTCACGGACGGAGCGGCTATTGAAAGCGGTGTCGAAGGGCACGGGGACGGGGATGAGCGGCGAGCCTAAGACCCTAAGGAGGAGCTCCAGCTCGGCAGTGCGGCCGGAAAGCTTCTGCTGCGGCGCGGAATCGGTGGCTTTGTCGAATGGCTGCGATTTGAGCCACGCGTAGTGATCTTCTTGGCTGGTAGACGATGACGATCCTCCCTTCCCACCTCCCTTCTCGCTGCCGGGGAACATCTCCTCCGGTAGAGGAACCTCGAGGACGGTGTCCAGAGCATCTTCTCGCTCAAGATTTGGACAAAGCTTCCTCATATGTAGAGAGGAAAAAAGATCGATCTGTCGCCGCCTATGAGGATATATATGAGGATCAATTTTAGGAAAATTTGTTTTCAATGGACGGATCACACGGATCTTTTGCCATTTTTTATTTTAACTTATTTATTTATTTCTTATATTTCTCTCCTCTTTTTAATAAACTTTAAGAGGAATTTGTATATATAACACATAGTTCTTATGTATTTATATCTTGAATCTAAAATATTATATTTACATTTATAAGATTTTTATATAATAAATTTATGCTTGAAAAGATATATTTCACAATAGGAAAATTTTTTATGTATTATTAAAGACAAGTGTTATGCATGGGCATACAAAAGTTTAAGTGTTAGGTTCGTAAATAGATAATTTTTTTGTGGCATGTATGATAATTCCCCTAACGGCTATTTTAAATTACATTCAAATACTATATATAATAAATATATAAATATATGTGTCGCTATGTGTGTGTGTGTTAGTATATGTGTGTATATATATGTATGTATGTACATATAGTATATGTATGTATGGATATATAGTATATGTATGTATGTATATATAGTATATGCATGTATATATCTATATATATGTATGCATGTATATTATATGTATGTATATACATTTGTATAGATACATATATACCTATATACATATATATACATAGATACATATATACATATGTATAAAAATACATATATACATTTATACATATCTCTCTCTCTCTCTCTCTCTCTCTCTCTCTCTCTCTCTATATATATATATATATAAATCAAAAGATGTGGGCTCAATTGATTATAATTAAGACCAATAGCATGACTGTCATTAACTCTTTTATGACATGATGGTCCAATCATCAGCATGAGTTGTACCTCCAAAGTCATGGCGACGACTAGGCTTTAGAAAACCTCATTCTAAACTTCCAAATGATAGTGTATAAACCATCCTGCTCCAACATCAGCCTCCGCAGGGCACTACTTACATGCAGATGCTTACCAAGGATACGTAATCTGAAAGCGAACAGCACCTCAACTTCGATTCAAATGCATAAAAAAACAAACCGATCATCTGATCATGAAGAGAATATCAAGATTCATATCCTGTTGTCTTCCTGGGGAACCACCAGCCGAACTAGCTGCTTGTAAGCATTCTTTGAATATCCTCAAAAATGAAACGGCTGATGTCTTCCACTCCTCGTTTCGGACTTTATTTACAAAGTCAACAACAATGAAAGGGCCATAGGGAACAAAATACGTTGAAATATAAACTTGATTTTAGCATGTCTCATCTAGAAGCTTATTCTAGAATATGTGGTAGTTATGAAATTATTATGTGATAGGTGTGGTAGATATAGAATTATTGTGTGATAGATATAGAATTATTTGTAACCATTAGAGTATAATTGTAGTGGCACAATCCTAGTCATTAATTTAGGAGGTGTCACTAGGGTAAATAGGAGTGAAGGCTTTGAGTTTGTATCAAGCCAAGTAAAGGTGATAAATAGAAGTGAAGCTTCTTCCATAAATTTTTAACCTTTGCCAAATCCTAAAAGTTTCTCCATTCCAACAAAGTGTTTTCAGAGCCTTAATGTTCCTTTATAGAGCAATGGAAAATGGTGACATAGTTTCCTTCCAAGTCCCGATGCTTAAGGAAAGCATCTACGACAATTGGAGTATCAAGATAAAGACACTCATTGGAACGCATGACGTTTGGGAGGTCGTGGAGAAAAGCTACAATGAGCCTTAGATGAATAGCTCTATCCACAACACAAAAGAATAGCTTAAGTGACTTGCGGAAAAGAGACAGGAAGGATCTCTTCTTCATCTATCAAGCTTTAGATGAAGATGATTTTGAGAAGATCTCAAGTGTTACTTCAGCCAAGCTAGCATGGAAGAAGCTCGAGGTCTTGTATAAAGGAGAAGAGAATGTTGAAAAGGTACGACTTCAAACTTTAAGAAGTTAATTTGATGTTTTGCATATAAAAGAAGGCGACTTGGTCTCCGATTACTTTTCTAGAGTCATTACCATTTCCAATCAACTAAAAATAAATGGTGAGAAGTTAGAAGATGTGATTATCATGAAAAAGATTATCCGATCATTAGATTCAAAATTTGACAGTACCACAACCATTCAAGGATTTACAAGCCATGACGATAGAACAACTTTTGGGTTCATTGAAAGCCCATGAAGAAAAGAAGAAGATGAATGACAATGAAGAGATTGTCGAAAAACTTCTCAAGACGGATCTCCAACCAACTCAAAAAGATGAACGCTTCAATAATGTTAGAAGCCAACATGGAAGGCGTAGTAGACAAGGACGAGGTCATGCTAGCAAGCAGGGATGGAGTACCAACAATAACTATGAGAAAGGAGAAAGATTTACAAGAGAACGTGGTCGGGGGTGCTCAAACTCGAGGTATGATAAATCTCAAATTAAGTGTTATAATTGTAACAAGTTCGAGCATTATGCGAAAGAAGGTAGAGTACCTAAGAACAAGGTTAATGAAAGAGTCAACTACATAGAAGAAAAGAGAGAAGAAGATGACACTCTACTCGTAGCATACAAGGACAATGAAAAAGGTGAAGATAGTACATGGTGTACATGGTACGGACACCGGTGCAAGCAACCATACGTGTGGGAGACGAAACATGTTCGTAGAGCTTGATGAATCAGTAAACAACAATGTGTCTTTTGAAGATAAGTCTAAGATAGAGATGAAAGAGAAAGGTAACATTCTCATCCATCAGAAAAATGGGAATTGATCCCGACTTTTTATATGTAATAGTATAACAATGTCTTTGATGATTTTTTCACTTATTTTTCCTTAATTTTCAACAGAACCAAAAACTTGATCCTAGAGAAAATAAGAATTTAACTTTTTAATTTATATATATATATTGGGATACTACACAAGTAAATGTATCGTATCAAGTAATATATGACTTTTTGATTAAGACCTGAATATCGAACCCATAGAGAAAATAAGCAAAATGCACTATTTATTAACAAACCTTCTATTTTAAAAAGACAATTTTTAAACTATAGATATTTTCACAATAGGTAAAATTCAATTCTTTTTGGTATTTTTATATTTTGACAAAACAATAATATTTTGACAAAACAATAAATAAAACTTCTAAATATAACTTGAGTTTATGTAAAAGAAAAGCAATTAATATGAAAATATCTTTCTCCTTATCACGAGTCAGTAATAAGTATAGGAATTCTATTGTGGAAGTATACAAATTGTGTTATGCCAAATAGGAGCAATAATATTCTTTACCCTTACTAGAGATGCTATAGAGATCATTGACTAATTTAAAGTTTGAATAATTCTTAGGACCGACTAGACAGGGAAGATACTAGCTCTCACTCTAGAGTTCCCTCGATTCCCTCCACCTGGGGGCTAACATCTCGTATCAGAACCAAAAATAATAAACCAAGTTGGGGGCTTTAACCTGTCACTTTAAAGTCCTCTAAATCTACACCCTTCAAAGATTATTTCCCTTCTTATTTGCACTAAATCATATGAATTACATTCTCATTCATACAACCTCCTGTGATTCTTTCCAATTGTTGACTAAGACAATACCAGTCCGGTTCTTACATGTTCTCACAACAAATTTTAACATCTAAATAGGCCAAATCAAGAAGTAAATGAAGTACATGGATTTAAATCATCACAACTTCTTCCAACATTAAAGATCAATACTCTCCACAACTTCCATCCAACACTTTTAATTACTTATCATTTTAAGAAAAAAGATAAAGAAAACTACTCAGAGTCCATGAAGAAAATATAACCGCACTTTAGTTTAAAAGTAGAAATCATTGTCAAACCAACAAGAAGTCTCGATTAAAACCAAAAGTAGTTTAAAAACAAAAGATAAAAAATTATCTCAAATCTTCCACCAAACTCTTTAAATTCCTTTAAATTTCTTCTCTTTTACAACACTCTTACTCTCTAAATAAAACTAAAACAAAAGGATAAAGTAAATTTGTGGTGCCTGAAAACCTCTCCAAAACTATCTCTAACTCTTCTCAGAACTCCCCTTTTAAGGACTTTCAAGCACACTTCAAAAAGTCTCAACTTCCTTCCTTTAGAAATCTCCGAAAGGTGCCTTGATAACTCTTTAGAATGTGTCCCAATTTGATGTATTCTCCAAAGGATGCCTTTCTTCATAAGTCTTCTAACCATATTTTCATTTCTAGTGGACATAAATACCTTCTTTAGCCAATATGTGCCTCAAATGTCCCTTCAAAATTTGGCAAAATGAAGTAAACCGTCACATAACTGTCTCTAGCGCTTAAACGTGGGGCCTCTAGCGCTTAGGCGTGGCCTTCTCTATTTAACTGGCGCATAAGCACGTTTAGATGCCAAAACACTTTTGCACCATTTTCACAGTTTGCTCTAAATTTGATCTTTTTTCACTCCTTTTAGCATTTTTCACCTTTTTACTTGTACCTGAAAGAAAAACACACAAATATCTTCCATTAAAGCTTAATATTTCAAAAATAAGTATATCAATATCTTAAAGCTTAATATTTCAAAAATAAGTATAAAAATGTGTCTAAAAATACTATATATTTTAAGTGTACCAGGAATCATCAATTTATTTCTAATGTTGACTTTGTGCCAAATATGAAGAGCAACATTTTGAGTTTAAGACAACTCTTGGAGAAAAGATATGATTTTCACTTGAAAGAAAATACTCTCTTCTTAAAAGACAATATTAGTAACTTGACTGCTAAGGTGCCAATGTATAAAAATAGAATGTTCTTGCTCAACATTCAAAACGATGTTGCCAAATGTTTTAAGACCTGTTATAAAGATGATTTTTGGTTCTGACATCTTCTATTTGGGTATCTCAATTTTGAAGGACTCAAATTGCTTTCAAAGAAAGAGATGGTGAGAGGATTACCTTACATCAACCACCCTGACCAATTATGTGAAGGAAGTTTACTCATAAAGCACTTCAGGAAAAGCTTTCCAAGGGAGTCGAGTTCAAGAGCTCAAAAGCCTCTTGAGCTCATACATACAGATGCCTGCAATCCAATAAAGCCAAGCTC